ATAGAACCAGTGATTTCTGGGAAGAATGCAAAAAAGAAAAATCCAACCCACACATGAGGAAATCCATTGAAGAAGGTTATTAAATGAGCCCAAGAAGCAAAAGTTAATGAAAAGGATGATGCGAATACCCGATATATGGATGAAGAGGGAGCTTTTGGTTAAATGAGGGATGAATGTACTGTGATTTGATAAGAAGGACTTGGAAAAAGAAGGTATCTCTACTGAAGAAACTGCAGAAGAAGAACAACCCTTGAAATATCAAACGTAAAGAAGACAAAGAAGACAAAGAGGACGAGGATAATCCAAAATCAGTAGTTGTAGCAGAGAATGAATCTGAACCAACTGAAGAAGAAGAAATTGTCGTCAAAGATGTCGAAAGTGAAGAAACCGATTCCAAAACACCTGTGAAGAAAGATGCTGTAGAAGCTAAAGAGAAAGAGGAAAATGTGAATGAAGAAGACGAAAAAGAAGATGCAAAAGCTGTTGTTGAAGAAACCTTAGACGAAGAACCAGTATCAGAGTCCAAGAAAGATGTACTGGATGACGACTTAGAAAAAGAAGTTTCTGAGAAAGCTGATCCTGAAGAGACTGAAGAAGTAGAAGATGAGCCAAAAACTAACTCTTCCAAAGAGCCAGAAGATGTTGATGTTGAAGCCAAAGAGGTGGATGAAGAATCTGCATCTAATGATAAAGGTGAACCAGAAACCGAAGTAGTCAAGGAACCAGAAACTAAAGAAGACAAGGAACCAGAAACTAAAGAAGACAAGGAACCAGAAACTAAAGAAGACAAGGAACCAGAAACTAAAGAAGTCGAACAAGTCCAAAATGAAGAAATCAAGGAACCAGAACCTGAGGAAGTTGTAGAATCAAAAAGCCAAGATGTTGAAGAACCTGAATCCAAGGTTAGTGTTGAACCAAAGAGGAAAGATGTTGATGAGTCAAAGAGTGAAGAAACCGAGGAACCAAAATCAAAGGATATTGTTGAAGAACCAAAAGCTAAAGAACCTGCTGTTGCTGTTGCTGACGATGATGATTTGGACGATTTGGATATCTCACCAGAAGAAATCCGTAAACATCTTGAGGCTCAACCAATTTATATATTTACTTCGTTAGCTGGTGGTATGCAAATTATGCCAAGAACCAATCGTTTGGCAACTATTTTACAAGCAAAT